ACTTGAACTCAAGTAGGCTCATGGGGGGGGGGGGACATAATTCACACAAATGCACCAATGCATGCAAAGAATCAGTTTAGTTTTACAGCCATAATTACTTGATCTGGTGAATCAGAGTTATTAAGCAGAAGAATTTCTTCCTCACCCTTCACAAGCACCTCAGGGTCTTCATCCATTGTCATCTTGCTCTTCTGTGTGATGAGACTTCTCTTCTCCTCAGGAACTCCTGACAGACTGAACAACATGAAACACAACATAGATGTCAGCAGTGTGCCTACTGTAACCCAGTAAGTACTATACGACCCCCTCCCCTAGCCCCCAAAACACACACACACACACACACACACACACACACACACACATATATATATGCACACCCATCCCTTGAGGGAAGTTGGGGTCAACATCACACTTCTGCTGCTAAAACAGACCCCAACATAGCACAAAACCACTTCACATATGCAGACATTTCACATCTCACACACAAACACAACGCACACACGCACATCCCTCCACCCTCCACCACCATGGCCAGGCAGGCAGAGCTTTATCGGTCTGGCAGCCAGGGAAAAGACTGAAAATAAACGTGACTAAGAGACGCCAAGGACACTCGCACGCAAAGAGAGAACTAGGAAGAGCCTAGGAGAACAAGAGTGGTCTAGAGGTACTGACAAGAAAATAGTTGTCAAATAGTCATCACTAAAGTTCACAGGGCCTGGGACAAAAATGTCATGGGTGGGTCCACTTTCCCTCGGGGCTCAATAAATATGCACTATACTATATAGGACCTTAGTAGGACACTCCTCATCATTTTAGACTTTCTTTGGGAATTTTTGCCCATTCACCCAGCAGAGCATTTGTGAGGTCAAGCACTTATGTTGGAGAAGGCCTTGCAATGTGTTCAATGGGGTTGAGGTCAGGGCTCACAGTCAAGTTCTTTCACACCAAACTCATCCAACCATGTTTTATGGACCTTGCTTTGTGACCTAGGGCACAGTCATGCTGGAATAGAAAAGGCCTTCCCCAAACTCTTCCCACAAATTTGGAAGCATTGCTCAAAATATCTTGGTAGATTTTCCTTCACTTGAAGTTAGAAGCCTAGCCCCTGAAAAATAGCCCATTATCCCTCTTTCAACAAACTTTACAATTGTCACAATGCTGTCAGAGAGGGAACGTTTTCCTAGCATCCATCATTAGACTGCCAGAGAAGCCAGATTCGTCACTTCATAGAACAGGTTTCCACTGCTCCAGAGTCCAGTGGTGGTGCGCTTTACACCACTCCATTTGACGCTTGGCATTGTACTAATTGATTTGAGGCTTGCATGCAGTTGCTCGGCCATGGAAACCAATTCCATGAGGCTCCCGCCGCACAGTTTTTGCGCAGGTATTATTGCCAGTAGAAGTTTGGTACTCCTCAGCTATCGAATCGCAACTTTTACGCACCATGCGCCTCAGCGCTCTGTGACTTTACGTGGTCTTCTGCTTCACGGCTGAATTGCTGCTGTTCCTAAACACTTTCACTTTCCAATAATACCATTTACAGTTGACCATGGAATATTCAGCAGGGATGACATTTCACAAATTGCTGAGGTTGTTTCTTGCAAGAAATAAACATGGATAAAAATCAAGGTGTCAGTGAATGGCTAATTGTACACCTGGACTAAAAGACTCTTGTTAAGAACAGAATAACAGCTTGTAATGAGTAGGTAAAAGATTAGTCAGAGGACGTCATTAGCTAACAAATGATAGATGTTTTGGGGAATGCTGGGAGCACAAGTACCTTGAAGTAGACAGTGATGGATGGATAATCACTCTGATAACACTGGCACACACTTTGGGCTGCAAAGGAGGAACTGAATGTGACAGTGTCAGTTAATCAAACGAGACATTCCTGAATCTCCTGTTATCTGAAGTCAGAACTTCATTTGGCACTAATTATCTAGACTTGCTAGTTTCTCACCCAAATTAGCCATTTGTTAAGTCAATCAAATGGAGAGTCCTCAAAACTCATTTCCTCATGCTGATGCTCTGGAAAAACATCATGGTTTGCAACCAGAGATCATGATCATTGACTGGCCCAGTGTCTCTAATGGAAGAGCCCGATCTCTCTCTCTCACACACACAAACACACACACTGTATGTGTACTTATATTAATATTTTGGACAATATCAATAAGCTTATTTTCATGATATGACTGGTAACAAAATGCTGAACAAGCTAAATCAAGCAAACTAACATCAACTGTTTTAAATGCTACATGTGAATTTAGGCATCACAACATTTTAATGTACAATATGTAAAATTGCTGTTCATTTTGAGTTTTGCTCAAGATTTAACTGTGTTATTAACTGTTATCGTTAAATGCAGACAAATGTCATTTAAATTTAAAGGGGTCATATGATGTTGCTAAAAAGAACATTATTTTGTGTATTTGGTGTAATGAAATGTGTTTATGCGGTTTAAGGTTCAAC